CAATATAATCATTACTTTTTAGCGTGATCACGTTGCCTGCAAGATAAACGCCTCCTAATTGACTTCCAGTCTACACTATTCCTTGTAAACTGATTTCTTTTTATTTGTTTTTCATCCCTAGTGGGTAACAATTCTGTTTCTCTTAATTTCAAATATTCGTCTGTTCAAGGCATAACCTGGTTAGTACCGGTTGATTTTGTTAGCTTGGTGTCGACTATAAAATATCCACTGTCCCTTTTTTTCATTGAACATTTTAATTTCAACTGATTTATTATTGGTAGTCATTTCATTTTTCATGTCATTGTGCGTAGCCTGGCGTAAAACATTTTAAACGCGAAAAAGCATTACGTTGTGATTTTGTTTCACGTGTTGTTACAAATACATTATTATATTACTTCCTTGGCCTAATTAGGCTTAGCAAAGAAGCAAGAAAGCACGCAAATTCAAGCAATTTCTGCAAAAACTGCGGCAACGTTCCAGCTGCATTTTTTTTTCGCTATTTTACGAGTTAGCCTACTACCTGATAAATATACTTTAAAAGTGTATACACAAAACATTTCTTTTTGAGAATTTGAAAAGTGACTGTTTGGGGGACTAAATCTTAAACCAAGCATCAAGGCCATAGTGCTAAAATATATGACACAGTTCATCATCTCATTCAATGCCTGTTCTTTATATGTGGAAGATATTGTTTCGCTGAAATGTAGCTAGTGGTATAGACCAACAATCTAAATACTTACGCGGCTGTAATGATGCCAAAGCGCAATGAAAGGGGTCCAAAATTTTTTAGGACAATTTCAAAGCTTTATATCGGGTTCCGAAAAGCGATGGCACAGTCAAGAAAATTTTATAAAAAGAAATATACGATTGCTGGCACTTTTTAGTGAAATTGAAGTACATTCATTTCTCAGTTTGCCCCGTCTTACACTAAACAGCTTGGTACAATGCAAGCACCGTGTGATTTCCTTCCTACCTTTGGTATGGCATGCATATCACTGTCGCTATCCTTAAACACGCGCACACACTTGCATACAAGCACAAAAACACAAACACACAAGAACACGTACGAGAAAGCGCACACAGAAACATACATAAACACTTACATAAAAGCGCACACACACTAAAAAACGTATACACACACAAACACGCGTGAGGACACACTCTCACGCACACAAACACACAATGCGAACACACATACACACAAAATTACATACGCACAAAAACGCAAAACACATACACATAGACACACGCTGTAAGCTCCAGCTATAGCGGGTTCAAGAAGAAGGTCAAGCAACCTTGCGTGTCGCACCACAGTTCTCGGCGAAGAGCAGAGAGCATCGAATGCGCTTCTTGTACTGAGTCTTCCTTCTAGCAATTAAAAGCTTTTCCTCCCTTTCGGCCCATCTCGTTCACTCATATATGGCGCAGTCGACGTCCGAAACCTCATACAGCCACTTTTCTGCCAAGTAAGTTGGCGTGCCTTCGACCAAACGTTACTGAACACCAAACGAGCCCTAAGCCTAAGCAGCGCGGTGTGTCAATGACGATGTCGTTCATCATCCGGCGTGTTGCCATCGCCTAAGGCCTTGTGGCGAAACGGTTCGGCGCCGCTACTGCGCCTCTTCTACGCCTGCACTTCGCAGCAATGCCTCCAAACACGGGTGCCAGCGATAAGAACACTCTCGCCCGAAAGAAGCAAGAAAACTGTGCGTGTGCCCCGATTGAGAGGCAGTTGTAGTGGACCCTTCAGTGCCAAAACATTAACAGTTATGTTATCCCACATCTGGTGACCCAAAAAACGAACGTACCGCTCCGCCATGGCCGACGAGGAAACCCTTGCTGCCTTTCAACAATAAGTACAACAAGTGCAACAATAACTGCAGGCCCAGCAGCAAGTGATCCAGAACCAAGAGCAGCTGCTCCGGAAACAGCAGCAGTGCAATGAAAATGAAGCACTCTCGTCCGACAACCGTGCACCACCCCACTTGGGCCACGCCCCCCAAAACTTCGCTCAAGTGGTCCCTGCCATCTTGGGCGCCTGTATTTCTGCGGGCGCCACCGACACGGACGTCTGTCGCGTCGCCATCAATCTTATACCGTTTTAGACAGAGGCGCCTGACGTGTAGTTCGCTCAATTCGAGGCGCAGTTTTTCATGGCACGCGTCACCCAGGACCGGACGCGCTATGACTACGTAGTCGCCCATCTATACTGTCGCTATGCGGCTGAGTTTCGCAATATGCTTGCGAATCCGCCAGCTGATGACTGTTACCTACATCTGAAGAGGAAAATGACCCACCGGCTTTCACCCTCACAAGGCGAGAAGGTTAGTCACCTACTCCAGCACGAAGAACTCGGTGACTGCAAGACATCGCAGCTCCTGCGTTACATGCGTGACCTCTTGGGCAGCACCCCAGTCGACGACTCCCTCCTCTGTATCATCTGGCTTCAGCGTCCACCCTCACATGAGCAGGCAATCCTCCAGGTGCAGCTGAATTTGCCGCTGAACCAGCTCTCTCACATCGCTGATCAAAGTCGTCGAGATTACGCTGCCAGCATCGCCCCACACCGTCAACACCGTTGACACCCGACAGTCCAGTGGCGAGCTCGCGCGCCGTGTCGACGAAATCACCCGTCAGCTAGACTCAATTCAAAGGCGCCTGGATTAAAGCCCTAAGCTGCATTCACAAAAACGCTACCAAAGCCAAGACAACAACGCCGTTTCATCGCACGGAAATGATAACAGCCCCTGCTACTACCATCGTCGCTTCGCGGACAAAGCCCGGAAATGTCAAACACCTTGCTCAGCTGGACGTCAGGGAAACTTCAACGGCAGCCCGTAGAGAGGCCGCGAGCTGCCAACTTTGGTCGTCGCATATTTGTCACCGACCAAGTCACGAAGCGGCGGTTCCTCGTCGACTATGGCTCCGACATGTGTTGTTTTCCCCGAACTTTTCTGCGTGCAAGCGTCCTTGCACGTCCTTTGAGCTCAGCGCGGTGAACGGCGAACCATTCGACCATCAAGACCTACGGCTCTCTCTGCCTTAACATCAACTTCAAAAACTTGTGTCGACATTTTACATGGAATTCCGTCATCGCCGAGGTCGCAGAGCCGATCATCGGGTACGACTTTTTGGCGTACGTACTACAATATTCTACCTGACTGCTGATATGACCGACATATCGACACTACAACAGGCCTCTCCCCACTGGGCTAACGTGCGACCCCCCAACAGCCTAACGTCAAGGCACTCACTATTGGAAACCAGTCGCCATACCTTGACATCCTCGCAGAATTTCCCGATCTGACTCGACCTAGTGGGCGTCCGCGAGAGGTGTGCCACTCAACCATTCACTACATTCGTACTACTCCCGGCCCCCCAGTCTCATGCCGCGCCCGTCGACTAGCTCGGACCGCCTACGAATTGCACAGGCCGAATACGAAGTCATGCTCCGCGAAGGTACTGCCTGCCGCTAGGAGGGACCTTACGCCTCACCGCTTCATCTGGTAACAAAGAAGATTAGTGGCTGGCGCCCCTACGGAGATTATCGCGCCATCAACGCTCGCACCGTCCCCGACAGGTATCCATCCGTCATATACAGGACTTTGCTCACCGCTTAAACGGGAGCACTATCTTCTCAGTGGTGGACCTCGTAAAGGCCTACACACAAATTCCTGTAAACCTGTATGACGTTCCAATGACCGCAATTATCACGCCTTTCGGCCTATTCGAGTTTCCTTTCATAAGTTTTGGTCTCCGCAACGCGGGGCAAACCTTTCTACGCTTCATTGATGACGCCGTCCGCGGCCTGAACTTCTCTTTCGTCTGCCTAGACGACATCTTGATCTTCTCCCGCAACGAAACGGAACATCGCCAACGTCTTCGTCAAATTTTCCAGCATCTCGACGAACACGCCTTACTCATACACGTTCAGAAGAGCACGCTCGGCGCCCCCATCGTCACGTTGCTTGGCCATGAAATCTCTTCAGAAGAAACTAGACTCTTGCCTGACCACATCCTGGCCCTTCAAAATTACGCGAAAGACCTCCGCCTTTCCTGGGCATGTTCAACTTTTACACGCGCTTCGTGCCTAAAGCAGCCACATATCAGGCCCCTCTCTATCACGCGTTGGCCGGCCAACGCGCAACCACCCTGTCACTTGGACGCCAGCCTTAACGCAAGCGTTCGGAGACTGCAAAACTGCCCTCTGGAATGCTACGCTGCTCTCCCATTCCAAGCCAGAGGCGCCCCTGGGTCTTTTCACAGGTGCCTCTAGCACCGCCGTCGGAGCCTCTCTCATGCAGCGTGTGGGCAACACCTGGTGCCCCTTGGCGTTCTTCTCGAAGAAACTCTCTTCACCGAAGCCGCCCCCACCTTCCAGCAGCATCGGCGATGCTGCTGGAACGCTATTACAGAGCGCTCCTTGCCATCTACGAAGCAGTCCAACACTTTCGCCACATCCTCGAGGCACAGTACTGCACCATATACACCGAACATAAACCTATCATTGCTCACTTAACCACAGATATTCACCACATCAGCTAAAAAAAAAGGTGGTCGCCGACGCACTCTCTCACGTCTCGGCCGTCGAGCTACCAACCGTTACAACCGACGCCCTCGCCGAAGCTCAGAAAACGGACACTGAACTCCAGCAGCTCCTTGAGAAGAGCTCTTCCCTTCAACCGCAAAAAGTTACTAACTCTGGGTCAACGGACGCTCTCTACTGTGACATATCAACAGGACGAGTGAGACCATACGGTCCTTTTTTGTATCGCCAAAGCCTCTTTAACCAGTTACACAACCTCAGTCATCTCGGCATCCGAGCTTCTACACGCCTCGTGACTGACCGGTACGCGTGGCCCTCAATGCAACAGGACTGCCTCACCTGGGCACGCACATGCATTCAATGCCAGCGCGCCAAAATCACCCTGCACGTCACGTCGTCACTCGGAGAATTCCCCCTCCCGACGGAATAGTTCCAGCACGTCCACATTGACATCATGGGTCCCCTCCCACCAGCCGGCCCTTACCGCTATCGCCTCACCGCCATCGATCGTTACACTCGTTGGCCCGAGGTGGGGCCGCTCGAAAGGATCAGCGCAGAAGACGTCACATCAGCCTTCTTCTCCGGCTGGGTTGCACGCTTCAGCACTCCTCGCCGAGTCACAACCGATCAAGGAACGCTATTTGAATCTGAACTCTTCAGGCTCCTCGGGCTCTCCACCGGGTTTGAGCGTTCACGAACAACTAGCTACCACCCTTGCGCCAACGGGATGATTGAATGGTTTCACCGGCAGTTTAAGGCAGCCATCATGTGCCATCCTCACTCAACCTGGCTCGAAGCTCTTCCCGCCGTCGCTCTTGGTCTGCGTGCAACTTTCAAGTCAGACATTCAAGCCATGCCCGCAGAATTTGTCTATGGGGAGCCGCTTCGCTTACCTGGAGAACTCCTCTCCGCTCCGACTTCTGATGTGACCAGCTAGGACCCTGCAGACTTCGTCACTCGACTCCGTCGCACAATGAGCGCGCTGCACCCCTCACCAGCGGTTCGCCACACAAAGCCGCCCCCATTTGTGTTTAAGGACCTGGCAACATGCTCGCATGCCTTCCTCCGCGAGAACACCGAACGCGCACCTTTACAGCCTCCTTACTCCGGACCTTACAAAGTCATCTGTCGCGACGACAAAACATTCACACTGCAAATCAGTGGAAAGAATGTACGCGTTTCCATCGACCGTCTAAAGCCATTATACACCCTTTCCCAGGAGCCTACCAACCCCCGCACGCCTCCCGTAATTCGCCGACGAAAGCCCGCAACGCCTAGGCTCGCACCCTCCACCACCCGCCTTAGACGCCAGGTGCGGGTCCCTAATCCTCTTCAACCCTGACGGCTTCAATCTGTGTGCGCGGGGGGGGGGGGGGCGACGAAACGGTTCGGCACCACTTCTGCGCCGCTTCTACGCCTGCGCGTCGCGACAATGCTTCCAAACTCGGGCTCCGCGATAAGAACACTCTCGCGTGAAAGAAGCAAGAAAAATGTGTGTGTGCCCCGATCGAGAGGTAGTTGTAGTTGAACCTTCAGTGTGGAAACATTAAGGTATGTTGTCCCACCACGTCACTGCCGTGAGTGTGCGGTTAATTTGAACTGAAGTACAGTGCCACAGCCTCTCTACCAACGGAAACAGGCAGCAACTTATTGACCTAATTTTACTTGATATCACGAAAGATCCTCCACCAGCTCAAAAACCCGAGCCAAGCGCGTCCGTCATTTTAACGTAACTAACATTCCCACCTTTCAACGCCGGTGTCATTCCCATCCATGCCCTCCTTCACATCAGACCCAGCAGAGAACTTGCAACGTATGGCGGCCTTTCTTCACCAGAATAACACCGTTATGATGACAACGATGGCAAGTCATAAGAACCAAGTGCATGTGATATTGCTGCCGGATCTATCAGCTTTGCAGCCTCCCTTCAATGAAAGTGGCACCCCAACTTTCAAGCATTGGACGGAAGAGCTTGACCACGTTCAACGGCTTGCACGATGGGAAGACGCGACTCTACTCGCCATCTCATAAGGGAAGCTTCGTGGAGTCGCAGCAGACTGTCCTGCCTCAACAGAGCGTCAGCTTACCACCTGCACTATCTGGAAAGCAGGACTCCAAGAACGATTCGGCGAGCAGACTTTCAATCATACAGTGTCAACAGAAGGTCACAGCCCTCACACAGAACGCCGGAGAGAGCCTGCAGCTGTGTGCTTCTGCAAAACTCAAGATCGTGTCTCACTGCCCAGTTCCCGATACTGAAAAGGAAAGCATCGAATACCTAGTTCGAAACATCTGCGACGACCAGGTAGCCACACCCATCGCTGTTCATTGACCCCGTGCAGTGGACGAATTTCTCAACATCGTCACAGAAGAGAATAGAACACTCAATCAAGCGCGCCTGATCAGAACTCCGCAGTCAACAGAGCAATTCGTAGGACAGTTGAGGCAGCCTCAGTTCCAGAGTGCTACTGTTGGAACTGACAGTACTGTGGACACTCCACAGCATGCTCCACCATCTACGTTGCAGTATACCACACGTATTACGCAGCCTCCTCGCATTGCCAGCCGATCATTTAATGACCAAGAGTCATGGTATGAAGCAATTTGAGCCGAGGGTGGTTCCCTAGCATACAGAAGGGGGAAAGACTTCAGAGGCGCTGTTTGTTACAACAGCCAACAGAAGGGTCACCTTGGAAGTAATTGCACTGCACCAAAGCGTCATTCTTACGACAAGCAGATAGTCCCCAAGGCACCAACAGCATTTGTGGGCCGCGTCGACGCCACACTGTATGGAACGAAATTTAGATGTGCCTTAGTTACTGCTGAAGTCAACGAAAGGGAAGAAATAATTGCCTGTCCTGACAGTGGCTCATTTTTCAAAATTGTTGCAGCAAGTCTAGCATCAAACCTTAAAATTGAGCCACGGAACAAACTACCTTCAGAAGAACACACTTTGCTCGTCGTCGGTGGAAACTACGTTGTGCGTGAAGAATCTGCCTTTTTAAAAATTACCATTGGTACACTATCTCGAATCGTCGAAGCAGCCATCCTTGAACGGAACGCCTTTCCCCTTATTCTAGGCGAAGACTGATTTGACGCAGCTCAATCCAAACTTCACTTCAAACCTGCCAAGTTACTTGTATCTGCCAGCCATCTACTAACGTTGTCGTGCAGTGCAAAGAAGAGCTATTGCTAAGGATGTCAAATGCAGTGATTTTGAAGACGTCTGCATGGTCACGTTTTCACCCCTTGCGGTCAAGAGCAGAGCCTCTCCAAGTCACGTATGAGCCTGACGAAAACAAACCCCCGTGGAGCCAGCTCAACAAAACTGCCCTAGTTCATTTCCAAACATCGTGTCCCACAAGCCCATTCCAGACAAGCTTTTCCAGCCCATTGTCCTTCAGAGGTGCCACGTTCATGGCCGCTCCAGAACACTCCTATTGCAAATATTACTACCCTTTGCAAACCTTCGTGCATGTGCGAGCCCTCGCAGCACATCTACAGAAACTTGCTTGGACTGCATCTTAGCGAAGCGTACGGCACGGACCCTTGCCACTGACTATTCGCCGTCTGAGAATGACGACAAAACGGACTATGTATCTGTTGACCACTACAAGTGCGGCATGAAAAGTGCAAAAGAAAACAAAGCATTCGCAAATGCAGTGCCATTAGCTGATCTTCCGCCAGTGTCCCAGAATGCCGAGGTGACCTGCCGAGTGTTCGTCAGCCATTCCAAAGACATTGCAGCCCTTAAAGGTCTGCGAAGAGCGACTCAATGGCATTCACGGTGGCAGCAGCCTAGCAAATATGCTGCACTGATGTCAAACTGTTAAACGACACTGACAGTGCCACAGCCAACGCCTACCCCTGTGCACCCGTTGCTTGCCGTCCCCATCACAGTGGTGTCCTTCATGAAGCAGTCGCCTGTATACGTGCCACAGCAAGCTCCTTCCTCAACTTGCTTCTTTGAATTTTGCGCACAAATGTCAAAGCCGACTCCTGGCAATAAGCTCCTTAGGGTAAATAAAGACTGCACTAAAAAAAGGGGGTCAACACCGTTACCCAATGCCTTGCAGTCGACTTCCATGGCTCAGTTTCAAATGGTGGTGAGACTGCCTTGAAGTCCCAAAAGAGTGGCACAACATTGGGACTCTTTGAACCGCAAGAATTGGCGCAAGGAGAACAAGCACAAAGCAGACGGGCAGATGCCCAGTCCCAAGTATAGTTCCTAGAAAGCAAGCCCACACACCAAACCTCCGGATTAGAAATTGACGATTTCGTGCAATATAACTCCCAAGTCATCAAGGCAGAGCAGCAAGGCAGACCAGTTCCCACACGAGACGAAACATCCATCCTGTCTAGTCATGACACCTACTGCAAACACGGATGTGTCCCCTTCAGAAGAACACAAGATTAGGGACACAAGATTGACTATTGATTGACTATTGACACAAGATTAGTTTTTTCTTCTAAGTCGACTTGGACTTCTGAAGGGAGCTGGGATGCCAAATTAGTTTTTTCCAAAGTGGACTTGCACTTCTAGGTTGGGTGGAATAAGAGCTCTAGAGATAACTGGTTCAAGAAGAACGTCAAGCAACCCTGGGTGCCACCCTGCAGTTCCAAGAGAAGAGTGGAGAGCATCGAACGCGCTGCTTGTACTGAGCCTTCCTTCTAACAATTGAAAGCTTTCCTCCCTTTCGGCCCATCTCGTCCACTCACAATACCGAAGAAAACACTGCGTACCCACGGAGTGAATTATGACGAGTGGGTGAAGCACTGGGGATCATCGGGTCAAACACATTCAGCAGCGGTGGCAACGTGAGGCTTGTCGGCTGACTATTAAAGCAAATAGTCTACTTTTTTCCAGGAATCGACGCCTATCAAGAAAGATTGGTCCTACTATTTATTGTTGTGACGAGCAGTGGCACAAACGCTTTATCGCAAGCCTGACATCATCGCCATGAACGTATAAAAGAAGAAGACATTGTTTGTCCTGTCCCACACAATCAGCAGTGGTGGCACCGTAACGCTCGACGACTGACTACTGAAGCAAATCGTCTTTCTTTTTCTAGGTTTGTGCTGATCTGTACGTAAAATTGGGCATATTCTGGTTGAGTACGTAGTTACCACTGCTGCTAAGTAACTAACATGACAGGCACTTCAATTTCTTGTCAAGAGGTTCCTGATGTGTTCACAGTGTAAATACACGTATCATTTAGGTGCATGTTCATGAGCAACAGAATCGGCATATAAAAAGAAATATGCAGCGGCGAAAAACTCGTGGAGCTGTGCAACTTGCCAAATGTCAAAAGCTTGAAGCAGCAAGAGCGCTGAAATAGAAAATGTTGGACAGGAAATGGACCTCACAAAATAAATAGGGGAAGTTCAGAATAAATTATCATTACTCCTTTCGTTGCAATCACAAGTTCATGCACTGGTAGGTGTTGCCAATGCGCTATGTGGTATTGAAAGGTCACTACAGAAAATATCAAGGAAGTACGATGACGCGCTTGCCGAAATGAAGCGACAGAGTACTAATAAGGAGAGTTTAAAGGGACAATTCCGGCGATTTTCCGACCATGTCACGCTAATGATGTTTCTGTGTTCCTGAGACATTCTTGTCATTAGCCCGATAGCTGAATTGCTCAGAAAATTCGAAAATGATTCTTAATAAGCAAGATAATGCAATACCGAAACCAAAACCAGACCAGGCACCCTGTCTGCTTATGACGTACTATTTCGTAAGAACCTGAGTCCCGCCAGCGCGAAGTATAAAAACTGTTAACGCCAGACTAGCGAAGCGCCGGCCAAAGAGCACAGAGGAAGGAAGAAAGTTTTCCTGTGCTATACCCGTGCCAAACACCACCGCCGTTGCCTTGTGGCCACACAATAAACGCTTTAGCAGCCAAAATAGTGATGGCATCGCCTGCATCACTT